CTCATTAGAATAAGTGCTTCGCACAAGGGCCTGAGTTCAATCCCTGGTTCCGCAAAAAAAAAAAAAAAAAACACCTATGAAGGACACTAAGACAAATGGCATGGGTTCCAATAAAAAAGGGATGCAATATGGGTGAAAATTGGAATGCTCAAAATGATGACTAAGGAAAAGCACAGATGAAAGATGTCCGCAGGATCTAGAAGGCACACCGCCAGCTAGGAAGGAACAGAGCCCGACGGAGTCCCCTTAGGGGTGGCTGTGGGCGAGGATGGGAATGCCATCTGTGTGACAGGTTGGAAGGTACGGAATATTGGAAAGGCACTAGAAAACAAGGGACATTTAGCCTTACGTTTGAAGAAAACTAAAAGGAAAAACTAAGGTAATTTATTAAGTCCAGAAAAGAGTTAGGGCCAAGGAGATAGCTCAATAGAATAAGCACTTGCCTGGCAAGCACAAGGTCCTGAGTTCAATCGTCAGTACAGCAAAAAAATATAGGAGTAAATAAAATTTTTTTAAAAACAGAAAAAAAGTTAGACGTTGTAAGAATCAAAATAGGTTGTTGGGATTGCGGAATGACAATGATTAGTAATTACTGTATCACTAGTGTTAGTACTTGTTGTACATAATAAGTTATGGTAAAGTAAGAAAACCAAAATGCTAAAATACAAAACTTAAAATTTAAAAGTAGACATTAAATACTTTCAAGACATATCTGGATTATTTCAGGGAAAAAAAAACATTAACTATTTTCAGAGGGATGAGAGAATGTAGGAGCTATTAAAGAAGCAAGAGCAAAGAAAAATTTTATTTATTTATTTATTTATTTTATTTTATTTATTTATTTTTTTTTGTGGTACTAGGGCTCAAACTCAGGACCTTGCACTTGCCAGGCAGCTGTTTATGCCACTAAGCTATCTTCCCAGCCTGAAAGAAAAATTTTATAAAACAATTAAATAATTTAGAAAGCAACAAACTATAGCTGAAGTGAGAAAAAAAACTGGAACAGATATCAAGAGTAAGAAGGAAGGGCCAGCCAGATAGCTCAGCAGACTAAAGCACCTGCTTAGGCATATGCAGGGACTGGAGTTTGATCCCTGGGGTGTTCTACCAGCCCCGTGGGCCCACAGGGCACGCTGACTCGGCTTGAGACTGGGCATGGTGGTGCGTGCCTGCAATCATCCTGGTACTTGGGAGGCTGAAAACAGGAGGACCACTAGGAGTCTGATCTATGCACTGAGACCCTTGTAGGCCCTGTTTACCCTATACTAAATACATTAGAAAAAAAGAGGGAAAGTAATAGCCACAGAACAGGGACTTGAGTTAATTCAGTTCTAGAGTAATAGCAGAATGTTACCTCCTGCAATAAATAATAGAAGTTCTCAACCCCAAAAAAGAGTAAAATCAATAACTGATCAAGGTACACTACAAAGTTTTTTCTAATACTTGAACAATTCATCAAATTATAAAATTAGCAGAAAATATAGAGGTACAATTTATTTACTCTAAGGGGCCGGGGAGATAGCTCAAGTAGAACAAGCACTTCCCTGGCAAGAGCAAGGGCCTGATTTCAATCCCCGGTTCTGAAAAA